GACGAAAAATTGTTTGACCAAGCGGCAGGCGGCGTGTTGCCCGCACGAGACTATCAATTTATATTCATGCCATTCAAATTTATTCCAACGGCTTTTTCACACCATTTTGCATTTGTCACACAGACGTATCAGCAAGCGCTCGCGATCCTTCGTGCAAGTACGTTTACTTACGCCAAAGGTTTGACCGCGCGCGTGCCACGAGTTGACTTGTCCGAATGCAGAAAAAGCCCGGTTCTTTTCTTGTTTCTTTCTTCCTCGCTACTCTCCGCGCCACTGAAGTTTGATTTATCGGCTCGTAAATGTAACATGACAGAATTATCTCCGACGAGACTGGTACTCCGACAAATTAATTTTTTCAACACGGCACACCCGATGACCTGCATCGATAGAGAAGCGAAGTAACTTTCTGTTGAAAATTTCTTCATTAAAATTGCCCTTTTGTATTTGCTCGGGAATACTTTGACCGCGCCAAGTTATTTATGACTGCGGTACACCGCGGTTACGCTCGTCATACGCAAATTTTTACAAAGGACCAGCATTCAAGTTAAACCGCGATGAACTATAATCGAACGCGGCCGCTAATGTAGAATTACAGTATAAGATCTGAACGCATAAAAATATAGACACCAACTGATCCTCGGCAATAAAATCGTCTCGGAATAGCGCTGCTTTTAAGTCTACTCCGAGCAATATCGGCCCATCGGGAAAAATAAAAAGTGCGCTATAAAACCAGACTGCACGTATAACACGTCTGACTAACATTACGCGAAAAGCCAGCGGTAGCGCTCATACTGGATCGTACGGTGTCTCGTAACGAAATTGGTTATTAATTTTTTGGCGTAACTCACATCACGACTGGCTGCGCGCGAAACGCGCCAAAAAAGCCAAGTTTAAGCAGGCGCTTTAAATTCAGCCTGATCTCCCGGCTGTAGCCATTGGCCGGTCTCTCTCTCTCTCTCTTGGCCGCCGACGCACGTCGATGATTCACTCGCGAGGTTCCGATATAATTGAGTCGAGCCCAACGAAAAAATTCTGCCTGTACCAGACGCCGGCGCGAATCGACTTCTTTTTATTTTCACCAAGCTTCTTTTCGATATTCGTCACGCGAAGAAGTGTTAACGTTCGCGATGAAGCCTTGTTGTGTCAGTGTGAGTCTGTTTTTTTTCAAGAAGGAAAAGAGATAGAGAGATAGAAGATTTCTTTCACGAGGCTAACGATTTATATTGACCGACACAAGTCGCACGCATATCAAGAAATACAGAGCGTGGTAAATTAGCCAAGACAATTTGAAGCCTTTCTTAGTCGAATAATTCAATAATGCGTGCGTGCGACTCGCAAGAAAATTTCCTGACAAACGTCATTCTCAGTTTCGCAATCGCTGCTTATATACATTTATGCAGACACACACGCGCACGTGACCGTGAGTTAATAGGCTTGCATTTGATTAATATTTTTATTGATGATCTAATGGATTGAAATATATATCACGAGCGGTCAGTACAAGCTACTATTTATCAAGCAGTACGCGCGATTGATCAACTTTTCATCCCTGCGAAATTGATGGCGTATATATAACGGTACACTATATCAGGCCTAAAAACGCGTCTCGGTTGTGCAGGCTCACGCGACGCAAAACCTATATATAGAACAACAGTCACGTGAGAGATACCTTGTCAGAAGGAAGAAAAGAATCTTCACCAGCCGAGAGGAACAAGGGCCGGTGAATTTATTCACTGAAAGCGCGTGACTTGTAAGCCGCGAGCGCGGCGACGTCGACAAATTTATCGCTAGCGAGCTAACGATTCCATCGAGAATCGTGCGGATATCTGACCTACTAGTCTGTCAAGCACGCTCATTTCTTCTATCTATAATAATTAATATGCAGTTTGCTTCTTACGGAAATTAACAATTCGCAAATACACTACATATCAAATTATTCTATGATTCGAAATGCTCAACATCCGTCGGTCTTAATCAATAAATAATTATTCAATTACATTGATAGTCAAATTTAATAAGGTAATGGCTCGTACGTGAGGTACACGTCAAATTTCTTTCCGCTTTATTTTCTAAATAAATTGAACCGTTAGCTGCGCTGATAAACTTTTTATCGGATATCTCCATGTCATTGAATATATTACCTTAAAAATAATACTGTACATGAATTTTGGCTATTTCGGCGCCGTTTTTCACATATCATTTTACGATTCTCTTCATTGATGATGATGTGTTCGTAGCTAAAATTCGTAACAAAGATTTTCAATGACTTTATATGTCCAGGGAATAAATTAAATTGAAATGGAGCATTCGAATTATTTGACGATATGATTTTGAAGCTAGACCGTCGAGTGAATGCTGGTTTTATTATCCTTTTAAAGTCTGCCAATCGTCTTACGTATTTTTTATTTAATCACTTAATCGATAATATATCGACATAAGATGCCTAGTTATAGCCTTAGGACTCGTAATTAGAACCTATTTGCCGAACATGCTAGCTGCTCTGCTGAATTATACTACATATCACATGCTCGCTCATAACAGTAATCCCCGTGACTACATTCAGGCAATCCGATTGCGAACAATGGATTCACTTAGCAGACCATCAATCTTTGAAGAAGAAAAAAGGAAAAGAATAGATCGGTGTTCCGCGATTGACAGCGGAAAGAACCAAGACAAAAGAGAAAACGCTCGGTTGGATGGAAAATCGAAAGAACGGAGGGAAAATAATCGCAGCGTGGTTGCGACGCTTGAAAAAGCCGGGCTTGCGAGGGCGAGCGAACGAGCGCGCAACAGGTGTCCCCGCGATTATGCATGAGCAGCCAAGGGGCGACGCCGACCTGTCTGGCCAGCGGACTTTTCTAGCCGGCTAGACTGCTCGGTCGTGCGCGCTTTATTCTTTCTCCATCAGGCTCGACTAGGCCTCCACTGCGTATAGCTCGTTAATTGGCTCGGTCGACAACAGTCGCTAGAACCTCGCTCGCTCGCTCGCTCGCTTGCCACACCGCGTATTTCTCCGCAGATTTCGCTGGCGATATGCAACTGAACCATTTAATTTTACGTTTATAGACATTCAATTAGCAGCTTGCCGCTATGATCGAGAACGATCTTACGGCTCCTTTTTATCTCTCCGAGGGATTGAATAAGAAAATAATATGTTCGACCCAGTTATTTCAGCAATCGCATAGTCAGCAATACGGGAACACTTTCGCGCTGTACGACGAGCCGCACGCGTAAATATTTCGCCGATTTTATTACGAGCAGCAGTGTGACGCTGACACAACTGCGGATAATTAATGTCCTGTAACGCGAAACGGTGCGCCAGAACTCGCTGGAACCCGACGCACACGTAATAAGCCAGACAGGATAAGAAGCATCGTTTTCCACCGATTTTGGAAGCGAGGAAAAACCATTCGAGGGACTCGTGAAGAACTGCGCACGCGGACGCGACGTTCTTCATAACTCATAATTCTTACGTAAGTCCGTGGGCCGAGTGCGTGAGTATGCGCGCCATTATTACGGTACACTCCTCGCTTCAATACGTAGAACAATGTGGTATTCCGCGGGCCGTAAATTAAGCGGCGCGTGACCTCACGAAAATTTAAGTCCCAAGATTCATCCTGTGGATAAAGTGCAGCGTGCGCGTGATATACTCCCGGAAGACACGGTCACGTGTAGATGTAACGACATAGAGATCGACCGTCCGAAAACTTTGCTCCTCGAGTCCTCTCTCTCTTTCTCTCTTTTATTTTTTTCTTCCTTTTTCACGCTCAAGGAGTACGAGGGTACAAGGCCTTTGTTTGGACCGGTCCCACTATTGAGATTAGCCCTGAATGGACTCCCGCGCGCGTCACAGGTGTCTTTGTCTCCACCGTTTCATTCACGTTTTTTCGTGTACGGCAACATTCGTAGGATTTTCACGAGATTACGAGGTGCACGTACAACCTACATCGCAGAGGCGTTTATAACATTTTTCAGCTAATCACACAGCGTCCGTGCGAGAAGAAAAATCTTGTCAAGGCTGAAGGAAAACAGCAGTACTGCACGCTACTGATGTTAACGAGCAACTCCTCTGCGGATAGAGGTACAGCGGTTTAATACACCTTTGGCCTCTGCCAAGCCTATCGGTTAGCTTTCGATCGTAAAGTGTTCTTAATGATTACAGGAAATTAGCAAAGTGTCCCATTAGCCTGAAAAACTGGAAACTTATAAAGTATTTGCTTGTCCTCCGTGCACTTTGCGAGAAACACACAAGTAACGTAGGTTTTAATTGAAGTCACTTGAGCCCATAAATTTCAATGCTTTTTCAAGTGCTGCAAGATGTATACATGCCGATCGGCGATGTTCTAATCGATTGATGAAAGGCAGTTTCTGTAGAGTATACTTGGAATGAACTTGAAATGGAGTTATATCAAGATTCATTTGATTTACAATTGTGCCGACCGAAGGAAACAAGCGTGTTTTTCTTGTTCTTTTTCTTTTTTTTATCATTGCAATTCACATGGAAAACAATAACTACGGGAAATAAATCAGAGCCTGCCGACTGGCGCAACATTGCGACGGCTTGATAAACACATCGAACTGCAGATTGCCGATCAATGACATCACTATATGCGATCATTTTTCGACGCGAAGTCAACGCTCGCGATTTCTCTGTTAATTTTGACTGTTCAAATAGAAAGTGAGCCGCACGGAAATGACACAGGCAAAGCCGAAAAAAGTACATTAGCAATTGTATAGGAAAAATCGGCAAGCCTCTTTTTTGCCAAGAGAATGTCGCCGTCGAGTGGGCTAGACGAGCAGGACGAACAGAACGAACAGGCGACGCGACCGCGAAAGAAGATAAACACAGGTGAAAACATGTGTCAGCACTGTCGCTGTCGGCAGCGCCTGCCGTCGACGTCACGGTGGCGCTAGAATTGTTCGCCGAGTCACAATATACGCGCGGACACTATGGAAGGCTAGACCCGAGTAAGCTGGAGGCACAGGTGCGAGAAACTCACCCATAACGGAGTGGCTGAGGCCGGAGCCGGGTTGCTTTGGCTGGTAACTCGACCTGAACCTGTCGGGCGGCGCCATTCTCGATCTGTCAAATTTATCACTGCGATGGATTATCAGTTACACTCGATCACCACCGTCACTACCATCGCGAGTGAGTCGCGAGCAGGTGCACTTGGCAAAACTGATTCGTTCGTTCGGAGGTTGGCGGTCTATAGAAAAGAACATTCGTTGGCGTTGGACCACGTAGTTCGCGCGCGATGCACGCTAGCTCGAGTCGAGCGCTATACTAAAGCCGAGTAAACGCCACTCGCAGCCGCGGCCGTCGGTCGGCCCGAAGCAAGCGCGCCTGTGTCCGCGCTCCCCGCAGTCCCACTATATGCGACTATACTCCACCGGAATCCGATTCAGGTGCGGAGAGCGCCGAAGCGGAGCCCGACATACTTTCTAGCCGTTTATTTTTCTGCGGCTCCTAACTACCTTTCCTTGCTACCGATTTTTAGCCTGCTCTCTCGCATCGATATTTTACGTTCGCACATTGGCATAGATAGCTCTATCGAAATCCTGTCGAACGGCCATTTTTCCCATTCCCGAGCTGCCTTGACTTTTGCTTGTCTACATTCATTCATTATAGTTTTTCATAGTGGAAAAAAAACATTCTTCTTTATCTCTCAAAAATGACAATCCAGCAACACTTAAACTGCCAGATGAAACATTCTGAAGAAGTAACGTTTTAGTAATCTCTGTACGATAAGATACGGCGCCCTTGATTTTATTTTCTATTCGTCTATTCCTTCGAAGCTTCCAGTTTGCTGTTAAAAAGAGTTGTTGAAAATTATGGTACATATGCGATTGATGCGTTAGGTTTAAATGGTTAAAGGCTTCATTTCAGAAAATAAATAATGAGAGTGATTAACATGCATTATTATCAGAAAAAAATTACTGTGAACGATGAAGATGACGAGAATCGGCCCAATTCGAGATGCAAAAGTAATCTTTTACACGCATTAATTATTATTTCAGATAGTGTTTTATCACGGGGAACATTATAAATAAAGCTGTAACTGAGTAGTACTCTCAACAGATGATATGCGCGTATTTCTTTGAACAAATCAGTAAGAGTCGCTGATAACGCACGATGTAATCAATTGCAGAGCAAAATGTGCATCTATACTGAGCACTGAGTTGTACGAATCCGCTAAAGTACGTATTTCGGTGCATGTCTGTTTTCCATTGATAATGTCATAATCGGTTTATATCCAATTTTCTATTTTAAGTAACAATGATTGTACGGGAGGAATAAATGGAAAATGTTACGAAAACCGTAGAAATCGTAATGCGCAAAGGTACACTTTTATCTGTGATCGTAGGAGTAAATTTTGAGGATTCTCAAATTGTTTCAACAGTAGATGGTTATAACGTATGCAACGAGTGAAAAAAGAAGACCTATAAAGTACTTGTACTCGGATGTGGCCGTAAGTGAAAGAGCTGCGGTTGGTCAGGACCATAATCGTACGAACAATACCGAGAGGATTTCCAGCTGGTGTTGCGGTGGACACGACGGAACCGATGACAGGCGGTGGCAAACCGCAGCCAAGCGTGCGCCAAAATTCGAGCGCCCGCGCCGTTTGGTCAGCCAACCGTTGCGCAAGCACGTGCACTCCAACCCGCGCAAGCTTTGCACCTCGCATACATTCGAGTTGCTTCCGTCTTCTTCTTGTCACACTCACCAGGCGTGCATTGTCACGAAGATTGTTCGTCGTTAAGCCAGGAAGCAAACTCATTAGAATTTCTAAGAACAGTATTAGTTCCAGTTTGCATAAGCGTATAATGCGTTTCATAATGGAGTCGTTAGACTATCATTCTTCGAGTCGGCGCGCTCACTTACGCACCAAGTCATACGATGTCTACGCCCAAATCATAGAGTTGACTTTGCACTACAGTTACTTCCAGTGTTATAATTTTACGCAACGCCTGTACGACTTTCTCGTCAAGTGGCCGTTAATGATTGAGCGCCTGGGGAGGAAGCAAAAAGAGAACCAAGGCTTCGTTCTGATTCGATCGTATACTGGCTGAGAAACTCGATAATCTCTGCTCTGCCTGTTTCTCCCTTTGCTGCTTTTATCTGATTCCCTCGCTCATTCACACCGACCATCGGATATGAGATCAGATCTAACTTGAATAATGATATTATGAATATCGAGCGATCGGTCAATAAATTGCACGAATAAAAAAATACCATTGAAAAATAAGGGCCGATGCATTTTGCAACGTGCCTAATTGTTCCATTTAGTAGCTGTTAAGTAAGAAATTGTGTAAAGAGTGAGCTTTTTGTTACGGGAATTCGGCTGATGCACTTGAGTCAACGACGAACAATTAAACGGTTCAAAGTATCGCAAAGTACGTTATATCGTTTACGGGATTGCACGTTTAAAGAAAAATTATAGGTCTTACGAATCGGTATTCGCATGTTTCATTGCCAGATATAAGTTAATGATCTTTGAAAAAGCACGCGCCAAGACTTATCGCACTAAAATGACCTGGTATTACGTACTGTATCGAGTTATCTTGATGATATAATACGTCGACATCATTCATTGAAAGTGATATGAATTACCCGTGAAAATCATTTGATATCGTTGTTAGCGTTTCTAACGAACGTTTGAATAAACTTTTACTGGACTTATTGCATGATTGTAGAAGAACTTTGTTATAATATCTACTGGAAATAATATATTTATATAATACTCTTTTAATATATTTACTTAATAAATAATTACTCTTAATTACAAATCCAATGGCAGGGCAATTTAAGTATCGACTGAAAGTTTTTCGTTATAAAAATTAAGTTTCATCAATGTACACTTTCATCTCGGTGAAATTATTGTCACAAGGAGATATAGCGAACGTCAGCGTAATCTTGATCAATTCTTCGAGACCACCAGGTACGATAATAATAATTATTTGGTAGAGAGCGCGTTGCAAAACTTGCACCAGTTTCCGCAAACACTTGACCAGATGAGCGCAGCACTTTGAGTAATATCGTGAAATTGATTGGAAATTGATTGGCTTGTCTGGACTACAAGAGAGTCAAAGCTGCAAAACGCTGCAAAGGTCATTCGTTTCGCGGTATAAAAGCTGTGCGAAGCATGATAGCAGAAGAACTTTGAAAGAATGAATTTACTGGGCGCACAACGAGCACGATAGCGGCAGGAGGGCACGCGGTTCGTCCGAAAAAGGGAAATCGGCATGGCTACTCCTTCCATTTCGGAAGTGCCGGTTACAGTCTTTCTCTCGGCGTGCGTGTCGCTCAATTCTGGGTGCATGCAAATGCAGACGCAATGTCCACAACGGATGCTCGTGGGCGGACCAGGCGTCAGTTCTCGCGGGGCCCTTGCCCACACGCACCTTTTATTTTCAGGCGTATACGGCCAAGCGAATGCGTGCGCTCGTGCGTACGCTTAATTGTACGCTTAATTCAGTCATTGGAAAACGTCTACACGCGTACAGTCGCGCTCTGGCGACAACCGCAGCTGCAATGCCAATCTTGCGCGGCCCTTTTCACCGTAGAGAGCGCGATCCTGTTGTTGACCTCCTTCCTTGGCAATTACACACCGCCATCGATCGTGATACATATTGAATTATAAATTATTCAGTTACACACAGAAACGGTAGGCGCGCCCTGACGACCGCAGCGACGACGATCGACTTACTTTTTTCCCTTCTCCCATCACCTTCTCTCTCTCTCTCTCTTTCTATCTCGCTCGCGCATAATAATCGACGTCGAGTTTTTAACTGTGCCGCCCGAGTATTAACACTTTCATCTTATCGAACGCTCATCGATGCATATGTGTGCCAAATTATACATCGCATGCTCGCCAACTTTATTTATCGGTGCCTTACGTAAATTGAATTAATAACTACGTTGACGATATTTTATCAGGGCAAAAGAGTTATACATCAGACTGAATTTGGGCCAAATAATATGCTTTACTCAATCATCCTGTCGAATATTTTGTTATTGATAAAAACGAAAACAACTGATCTTCGACCAGCAAACATCCTTTTCCAGATTTTAATATGGCAGGCTTGATTTTTCATGCAAATGCTTTTATGCCAAGATAAAACTTGTTATTTTATTACAAGCGCGCGCAGTGCAGTACGCTTCGATCGTTCAAGTCCAAATTTGGCTTTCCTCTCCGAGATATTCTAAACATCATAAACATTTTACAAGCAGCTGTATCACTTTCATTCCAAAAAGAAACTGCGCGTGGAACTTACAACTGGTACAAGAGCTAATCGTCGCTAGTCAAATTATTCCTAAGTACTTCCGACGCTCGGGAAAGATTTTTTAATTAAGTTGATGGAAAACTCAATGTATTTTTTTTTCGAGATGATCCTTGCTGTTTCCTCTCAAATGATGTCGACGAGGTACTAGGTAGATATATCGAGTTGCGGTTAATTAAAAAAAAGAAAAAGACTCTGGAAGCCCGGCAGTTAGCTTCACACTCGATGCGCACGCTTTTTCTTTTCTAACGATGTAGCTATAATATAAATAACGTTAATAACGTTATAGCTATGCCTGCGTGCCGAGGGAAGATTATGAAAATTGCATAGCGCAATTGCACGCGGGCGTCCCTAAATTGGATCAGCTGCGCTACGACATTCGCCAAACGTCAGCCAGCAATTACCCGCGACGATGATTCAAACCGATTTTCTATGCTCTTTCTATTCTAGATATGCTCACGCCGGCAAATTGGCTGAACCGATTTTTGCGCGCGGCTTGATTTATTTATTGTTTCTATCGTGCGATTATGCAACTCGACTGGCTATTCGCTTCAGCTCAACAAAAGTGACTGGTACCGAGTGAAATATACGAACCAATAGCTAATTACAACCTTATCTACGCGAGCCAGGAAGTAGACGTAGTTGTTGAATTGCTCGTCTACAAAAAAATTTCACTTGAAGTTTTTCCCTATAGTATGCATTTGTAATGAGATTATTGTATGGAAAGTAAAGTTTTACTCAATCAATTTCCGAAGCTGCCGCATGTCATAAATAAAAGTTGCTCAAGCGTATTTTTGCGCGGTGAGCTGCTGCATCGGATGCAACCCATAGACGGCATAGCTTGGTGTAGGTAGCCTCTGCGGTATGCCTACGGCAGAGAGCTCGTGAAACTTAAGCCTCGCGTCTGGCCTGGACTCTCTAATGGCCAGATTTTCGTTTCTTTCTTTCTGCTCGCTAACACAAATTGTAAGCTAAGAC